TATAAGTTTTATTTATTTTCGAAGTTTGAGCTTTATTTAATAATATGTGTATATTTTATTTTTATTTTTGTCCACTATCTGTGGCTCTTCCTCACCTTAACGGTGCAAATCTTGTTCCTGAGATTATCAATGACTCAGAAACCAAACTAATGGCAACACTGCAGACGTCTGTGTGACCTGGCAAGCCCTACTAACCGGAGCAGGTGTGGAGGAGCCGGGTGTTGGTTAGGAGACGAGCGTTAGCAGAGTGGTCAGTGTGTGGTGCTGTCTGTGCGGGCACTGTCCTGCTGACTGACCTGCTCCCCTGCAGCTGCTCTACCTCTCCGGCCAGCTTGGCACTGCGCTCCTGCTCTTCCTGCAGCCGCCTGCGCAGCCCGCGCAGCTCCTGCTGAGCCTCCACCTTGATGTCGTTGGCTACCACCACTGCCGTCTGAAGGTCTGCCTGGAAACGCCGCCACTCCTCGGCATCATCCTGCAGAGACAATTACACTCCTGGTCAGAGGCAGAGCCGCGGAGCTCTGTGCGTTGGACACAGGCAAGTCGCACAACACACAGAAGACACAATTTACAAGAATTCATTACACTCCAAACACAACCGGACCCTGTATAATTCATGCAAACGTCTTCTTATCTTCTGCAAATGTTTTGCTACAAAATAAACACACCAGAGGTTATCTTCAGAAAAGAGTTTGCCTTGACTAGTTTTAAGGGAATGCGAATACTGAGTATTAATCAGACACAGTGAAGGGAGAGCTACTGTATTAAACATGTCATATGCTCATTTGTACATCACAGCACTGACTGGAACTCGCTCATGATGTACAGGAAAACCTAATTTCATATCTGCAATCAGTAGCTTGGGGGGTTAAGACATGATGGTGTAAGCCTTTTATAATTTTTAGATATACAGTATAATTCTGACAAAAACAAACAATATACTGTATACAGGTACCCTCTAGGTCTTTGCAGATTACTTAAAGTGCTACCTTATGGATGAATAAAGTATTTTAAATTTAATTCAATTAGTAAAATTGTATTTGTAGACGACCAACTGTCGTAAATAAACTATCTTTATTTATCAGGAGATACCTCTATGAACTGAGATGAAGAAATTAAGATTTACTTGACTATTCAGTAAAGAAAAAATAAAAAAGTACCTTCATCTGTTTGTTTAGTGCTTTTATCTGCTTCTCCAGATCAGATTTCTGTTCTTCCAGCTTCTTGACTTGATCTATAAAGACCAAACCAGATATGACATAAAAGGTTGGGTACTGTGGCAGTAAATTGTGGCGCTGAAGAGCCCATGATGTGTTAAAAGACACAAAGGTAGCAGCTTGCAGGACTCTGACAGATATTTTTTCTTAGTATTAAATAGTAATCTCTCTTGCTTGAATTTCTTGTTTTAAGGAACAGAAATTAAACTGATCTCCAGTTATTGAACTCATCTGAAAACATCTCTGCAGTAAAGGTTATAAGTACGAAAGAAGAATCCTGCTATAAAAGGAAAGGTTGTGTATTGTCTGCAACAGAAAAAGCTATTGAGTAATTTTATAAAAAAAAGATTATTCAAACCAAGAGCACAGCCACAGGTTGAGGGAGTATGGAACCCTCTACTTAGCCACATTTGATATCCTGGTCTCCTGGATTCTTGGATCAACTTAACTACCAAACTACTATTCAAACCTCTTGTCTGTAACTGTTCTTGAAGTGAATAAGCAGGTTAATCGACTTTGAGTGGCCCCTCACTGTTTTAGATGAACAGCAAAAACCCAGAGTGAGACTGCACTTGAAGGAGACCTACTCTCTAGGTCCAGGATGGTCTGGTTGTTGTGCAGTTTGACAGCCCTGTGCTGTTCCACCTGGTCCTCCAGCTCGAAGATGGTCTCTTTCAAGTCCTTGATCTGGGTGTCCTTCTCAGCAGCCCTCTCCTCCAGGCGCTGGGCACTGCTGCTCACCTCCTTCTCCTGGGACGCACACAGCTCCTGCAGTCGCTGGCATTCTGCCTCTGCCTGCACAACACACAGCACACGCCCACGCCCTTGGGTTTAGTCCCTCACAGCACTGCTGGACACTATGGCCACCTCAACAAAACTATCTCTCCATTTTCTAACTGCTTCATCCAATTCAGTGTCATGGGGGAGCCAGTGCCTATCTCAGCAAGCAAGAGGTGGAAGAAAGGATACACCCTGGACTGGAATCCAGTCCATCGCAGGGCAGATACAGACACACTCGCACCAGGGCCAAGGAGCCAATTAACCTACCAGCATGTCTCTGGACTGTGAGAGGAAACCAGAGCACCAGGTGAAATCCACACAAACACGGGCAGAACATACAAACTCCTGGGTCCAGGACTGAACCCAGGGCCCCAGCACTGCTAACTACTGCACCACCTTGCTACCCCACAGAACACCCAAGCAATATAAAACGAGGAGAGAATTTGAATGTACACTGAGACAAATGAGATAACATCAATATTAGTTTAAACAAAGAACAATTTGATTTGTATACATGGACATTACCTGATGTGGAAAAAAGAGAAAATCATATCTACAGTAATCATTTGTTCTTATCATTTAAGAACAAATTATCATTTAAAAAGACAATCTGGAGAACCATTAATACTGCAGAAATGCAACTTAAGCAAGCTGAGTGAAGTACCTTGCTCAACAGCGACATCCCACCTGGGATTTGAACCCACAGCCAGAGGCCAGAGCTCTAATCACTACAGTATGTACCCAGGTTAATGTGCTTCATATGCTAATAAATATTGACAAAATGTCCTTAGGACATAAAAGAACAGATGAGATTGTCAAGAGTAATAGTTTTCAAGTATGGTGTGCCTTCCTCACCAGAGCCTTACTATCCTGGGATGAGCTTCAAAATCAGTTAATTATCATGGTTCATAAACAGCAAAGTGTCCCTTGTAGTACTACTCAGTCTTTGAGCACAGCTCTTCTGCTGACCAGAGTTGTCAGCAATGAAGTTCACTTTGAGAAGCTAATCCACTCCAAGCGACACACCTCTCTTAAGAACAGGTCTGCTGTGGACTGCAGACATAGTGATCTGTTGTGCATACAAGTGGTCCAAAAACCAAAATGCCATAGATTCTTGATCCTGTCCTTTCTGAAGCACAAGTTGTCTTTCTGCTTCTCCCAGAAAATCCTTTCAAATAATCTTGTATTATAAAACAACTGGTTATTTAGTTTTAATAGCTATTATCATTCACTTCATATACTGTAAACAAAGCAATATAATGACCAAATATTTTTTCCTGCCATATATAATAGCACAGAAATTAAGAGAAATTTAAATTGCAATATAGATTTAAAGTTTCAGGTTATAAGCTTCACTAGTGGATAATTAATTGTGAACACTTTGTATACAAAAATCTAAAAAAAAAAGTCAAAGTAAACATACTTCCAAGGTGAAATTATGAATCTCCATAAATAAAAGGGCATCTGCAAGCAATACTGTAAACATAACACAAACTTTGAACTTGAGCTCTTTCCATTACAATATGTCTATGGTTGTAATGTACTGTACATTAGAACAGGAAGTCTTGATTTCCATCTACACCAGAAGGTGGCTCTCTAGATGCATGTGGTCTTAACACTGGAAACTGAAAATACTACAGCTC